GGGTCTAGGGGTTCAGGGTTTAGGGTTTAGGGGTTTAGGGGTTTAGGAGTCTAGGGGTTTAGGGTTTAGGGTTTAGGGGTTCAGGGGTTTAGGGGTTTTGGGGGTACTTGGAGGCCCAGGGGACTTAGTAAGTAGGTTATAAGTAGAGTTATAAGTACCCTAAATGGAGTTACCCCAATTATAACCCTACTTATAATCGACTTACCAAGTCCCCTGGCCTCTAAGTACCCATCTTTGAGGCGCATGTGGTTTGGGCTTATCCTTGGGACTGCGGACATTCTGTTCTTGGGCCATAGGCATTAGAATCCAAAGCGTTGCCGTTAGGTCATGTGGGTTCAGGATTCCGCATTATTCCGCTTTATTGGTTTGCGGCTTGGGGTTCTGGGATTTGGAGGCAAAGGACCGTGTAGAGTTCGGGGGTGAGGTTTTGCGTGCGAATGAGGCTGATACCTGCGAGGACCTGTGAACGTACCGGACACCGGCAGAAAGACCTGAAGCGCCTGCGTGCCGCCAGGAACCGAAAATGCTATGCCAGCTATACACCCCAAACGCTAAACTTACCTTGACCTACGTGTAGAATCCCTAACTAGGTAATTAGGTTAGGGTTTACAAAGAAGAACCTACCAACCAATTAGCTTTGGGTAGGCTAAGCTTAGGCCCTAAACAAACCCAAATCCTAAACCCTAAACCCGAATGGCCTGGTATGGGTGCTCGGGGAATTTCCTCGCTCGCATCAAAGTCCAGGTCTGTCCTTTCCTTGGTAGGGAAACGGCTTCTGCGGGTTCCACGGCTGGTTCCTTGAGCGTTTCCTGTTCTGGTTTGGTTCTGCATGGGTTCTACATTGGAGCACTTTTGAACTATCGATATATATATATATATGTATACACATACATACGCATGTCTCTCTCTCTCTCTCTCTCTCGATCTTCTTTTTTCTCTCTCTCTCTCTCTCTGTCTCTGGCTCTCTCTCGCTCTTGTTCTCTCTCTCTCTCTCTCTCTCTCTTCACACCGTTTGAATACCCTCATATTAACTCCGCCAGTGGTGGTGGTGGTCGTGGTGGTAGTGCTGGCAGCAGGGGTGGTGGTGGCGGCGGTGGTGGCGGCGACTACGAATATGCTTCTGATGGTGACGATGATTACTAACACGATCACAGTGACTTCGACTTTTTCTGTTGCTATTGCTACTGCTGTAACTATTTACTATTGCTATTCGCCTATCGAAATAATCTTAAAACTATCAATAGCAGACATTGACATCATATGACTACTATCAACATGTCTGGTGTTGCTCACTTTCCTTTGCATTATTGCCACTCTTGTCATTGATGTTGCTGCTGATGCTAGTGCTGATTTTAGTGTTGCTTCTGTTGTTGGTGCTCTTGCTGCTGCCACTACCACTCCTCCTCTTGCTCCTGCTCCTTCGAGTACTAAGCCGGGCCCCAGACGTAGAGCTGCCCTACGCTGACGTCGCTGGGGTCGGTGCCTGGCAGCCGTCTTTGGGCATTCAGGGCTTAGGGTTTTAGGGTTTAGGGTGGGTTTTGGGTTCCGCGATTTGGGACTCAGGTTTAAAGGTTTAGGGTTTGGGGTTCAGGCTTTCGGGTGATTTAAAGTGATTCTGGGCGGGTCCCTGGACTTGCTATGGTTGAGGCTTTGGATGTCGGGTTCAAGATTCACTTCTTATTTAAGTTTATGAGGCTTTGAAGGACGAGGATGAGAAGGCATGCGCGCATGGAGGTGGCTTGGCCTGTTTAGGGTTCTGGGATCTTAAAGCCTTTAGGCGTTGTACAAGCTGGCCAGCGGAAGTCGATCCCTAACGACCTATTGCCACCAATCCGAGAACCTCAACCCTAAACCCTAAACCCTAAACCCTAAACCCTAAACCCTAAACCCTAAACCCTAAACCCTAAACCCTAAACCGTAACATGATCTCTCGCCCCTGCAAGTTCTGCACCCTCCAGGCTCGAAAGTCTGAGCTCTAAACCCTCACATCCCAGGCCCTACAGCCTGAGACTGGGGCCTGAGCTTCCTCTTCGTGCAACTGGCAGGCTGGCTTTAGGTTTTAGGGTTTAGCCTTTCCCTGGGGCTCCAAATAGCCCAAAGTAGGTACTATTTATAGACTTTAGACCCCAAAGTAGGTGCTATTTGTATACTTGGAGCCCTGGGGTTTAGCTGAAGATCAAAGGCCTCTTACCAAAAGCGACACGCAGGGTCTTTCCACTCTGCAAGGGGCCTTTTGCAGGCTGACCTCCTCCAATCCAGCACACGGATCCCTGTTCCCGTGAACCGGAAACTCAAACCTCCAAGCTCTAAACCCAGACCCTAAACCCTAAACCCTAAACCCTAAACCCTAAACCCTAAACCCTAAACCCTAAACCCTAAACCTCCAAGCCCTAAACCCAGTCCCAGGATCCCTGAAGCAACAGCGAGCTCCACCATGTGGCAAGCGTGCCGGTGCCCACGCACACTGTCCCACAAGCCTTTGAGGCGGTGCAGTTTGGAGGTTGGCGATTGAGGGTTATTGGTCTAGCTTTGTACTAAAACTTTCGGGTATGATACGGCTGATGGACAAAATCCTGCATGACCTTAAGGACCCTAAACTATGGGAATTATGGTATATTCCTTATAGTGGGTAATGCAGGATTTTGTCCATCAACCGTATGAGGGATAGGGCTTTGGAACAAAGGTTTCAACTTATGGCGTGGGGCTAAGGAAAGTTTATTTTCCGTGTGCAGACCCCAACATCTCGAGCAGCGGCCCGCCCCAAACCCGGTAGCTGAACCCGGAACTCCAAGAGCCTTAAAACCCTGACTAATACAGCGGCTTTAATAATTGGAATAGGGTTTGGTGGCCCATTATACTATAGACTATAGTTATCATAAGGAACCCCCCAAACTAGTAATTGGTCATTATTTAGGCCCCTACATTAAACACCCTAAACCCTATAAGCCCTGAACAATAAACCCCAAGCCTTAAACCCTGAATCCCCGACAAGAACTAACTTCAGACCTGGCTTTAGGTACTTGGGTTTAGCATCATAGTAGTAGTAGTAGTAGTCGTCGTCGTCGTCGTCGTCGTCGTCGTCATAGTTTTGAACAGCAGCAGTATGCAGCAGTAACAGCGGTAGTAGCGGTAGCAGCAGCAGCAGTAGCACAGTAGCAGTGGT